ACAATCAACGGTGGTGGATCCAAAACTTCATGTTAGAGAGGGAGAAGTGAAAAATGTGATTGAATGTTTGATCTACTTACAAGAAATATAACTCATTCGCATTAGAAGGACAAGAGATTTCATATCATTTGACTAGATGAGGGTAAAGACAACCAATAAAAAAAAAAGAGGAAATAATAACATTAGTAGGCACAAACCTTACACTACAAAATTTAAGACATTCAGCGACGAAAATTTTTCGTCGCTGAATCCTACATTTCGTCGTTGAAAAGCATCAGCGATGAAACACGACGCGTCGCTAATTTCGTCGCTGTTTCCGTGTCGCTAAAGTGTTTCAGCGACAAAACTGTGTTTTCGTCGCATTTTAGCGACGAAAGGGAAAACGTCGCTTTATAGGCGACGAAATATATTTCGTCGCTAAATCGGCGGCGAAAAGTGTTTCGTCGCTTTGTCTTTCGCCAGGCGACGAAATACATTTCGTTGCTTATTCTTTCACCAGGCGACGAAATGTATTTCGTCGCTTGTTCTTTCGCCAGGCGACAATAATGAAATTCGTCGGTTTTTTTTTATTATTATTAAATTGTATTTATATCATTTTCGTAAATTGTATTTAAATCATTTTCGTAAATTGTATTTATATCATTTTCGTCGATTTTTTTTTATTATTAAATTGTATTTATATATTATTTAATTGTTTCCTAATTTCAATCCTAAATTTCCAAGATTTTCATACAATTAGATTTTAATGTTCTTGATTTCTCATCCAAAATTTCCCGAATATACATAATTTTTCCATAATAACTAAATTAGAATAACAGAATTTGACCTTAAAATTTATTGCTAAATTTAAAAAATATAATAGATATCATTGAACATATATTATTCATAACATTGCAAGTGTCTAAAAATAAAACTCATTTTAAAATCAAATTACAAAAGAAAAATAAAGTCAAACGTCTAACTAAATTCACACAAATAACCCTCCCCAACCTCTAAGCTTCTACCATCCTTGCATTATCAATCCTGCACAAAGAATTGTATCAATTATTTTTGTAGTACAAGTATAAAAGTAGATTCTACACGAATACATAAAATCAAACCAATAAACTAAACTAACTAACATGATAGTAAAACAATAACCAAATGCATAATAAATACTAAATTCATCCAATGTCACAAACCCACCCCTTTTGTTACAACGCCAAATACATAAACTCATAACTCAATGTCACATACCCATCCAATGTCACAATACCAAACACATAAAATCATAACCCAAGTCACAAATAACTCATCCAACAGGTCACAATACCAAATACATAAAATCATAACCCAATGTCACAAACTCATCCAACATGTCACAATACCAAACACATAAAATCATAACCCAACGTAACAAACTCATCTAATGTCACAGTACCAAACACATTAATGCATAACACCCACTAACCCATATCTTCCTCCCCTAAAAATCACATGAGATCAACAATTGAATTTCTCCCCCCCTCCCCAATGTCACCAACGTTATAAACTCATTTCACGTTCCAAAACAGAGCTCCAGATAAACTCAGACATACTCCAAAGGTAAAATATATTCCAAAGAAAATCGGACATACTCAATACATACGTAAATAATATCATACTTCAGACAAACATAATCCAGAAGACATACTCTCAAAACATACGTAAACATTTAACACTTGAGCACATAGCCAGAACACCAAGAAACTAATTTCACGACATACCTTACTAGTCGATGAACTTCCTCCCCCCGAAAGAAACATTTGTTGCATTTCGAGAAGTTTCCTATTAAACTCCTGACTTTGGGCCTCCAATGCTTTCTGTATTTGTTCTTGGGTGGTCCTTGCCATTTCTTCCTCATGCTTCTGAAGACGAGCCTCTAATGACTCCACATATTCATCAGAGTATTTTGATGATGATCCTTTATTTCTGGTGGGTTTCGGTCCATATCCCATTCCTATTACATAGTTCGATCTTTTCCCAAGGACTGTCTCCATTATTTCTTCTTCTGTTTTTTCGTCTCCTTGAGAAGCATGATACGCTTTTAAGGTAATCATTTCTTCCTGAAAAAAAAATAAAAGTGTCGTTAAGAACTTTGAGCTATATATATCTTACATCAATACTTTATGTATTACAAAATTAAACGAATACTTACATATGCATTCCTCCCTTCCTCGTTAATCCAACCTTTTTCTTCCGAGTAATGCATATTGAAGAATATATGAATAGGACTTAAATATGTTTCATCTTATTTTCTCTATTAAAAAAGATTGTTAAGTTGTAATAAGAATAATAAGAACCTAAATCTAAAGTCGCAATACAATTCAAATAAATTATTGGGTTCATACCGAATCTTCTCGATGACACTGAAATGGTTTTGGTCCACCTCGATGATTGAACCTCAATTTACTACGGGCCACCTTATTTTTTGCAGATTTTTCCTACAAAATTACATGTTTAGTTAAAAAAACGATACTTATAAAATGATAATAAAGAATTAAGATCATATTAGTTACCTTCCATGCCAGAGATTCCAATTTATCACATAATATGTTCCAGTCTTCTTGTTTAATATCTTTATACGGCTTTTGGCGAGCACGTGCTAGATCACGTACCTTTTTGTAGTGTCGATATAGTTTCGCTCTATAATCCTTGAATCGAGTTCCAATCTCGTATAAAATATACCTATGCACATGTGGCTGAGATATATCGACAACAAACTTCTCCTACAAAACGTAATCATTAAAACCAGGTAACAACATATTCGATTATTAATGGCCAACAAATACAACATAAGAAAAATGGTTACCAATAACATCTGAACAATTTTATTAAGGACCGTTATCTCTTTTTTCTTTGCACACTTCACATCAATATAGTTGCGTGCAAGATAACCTATTTCACTGTTAAATGAAGCCGACCCAGGTCCAACCGGTCTCCCCTGTTGCTCCGTCCATTCGAGCTTGATTTTTCCAACTCGATTTACGACTCGTAACAAGAATTCGCCACGAGTTTCCCTCGTGCTCGTGTGATTCCAGCGATGGTATCGTCACCTTCGCTATCTGATGACATTATGTCTAAAAAATGAAAATAAGAAAACAGAACACAAGTTGTTAGGATTAGTCCAAAATACAAATTATAAATTTACAAAACATATAATATACCATATAGGATTACTCGTCAATATCAGAGTCATCGATTTCATCCGACGATGTTGTTTCATCATATTCATCTTCATCCTCGTCCTCGTCCTCTATTTCGTCTTGTACTTCATCAAAATTTAATACTATCTCAATTGTACTAGTATTGTCGGATACTATACTTGGATCTATGTCTGATCTATGAAATGTTTGTGTCTCGAGATTCACTTCATCTACTACACATTGATTGATATCGACTTCAACTAAATCAATCTCTTCTACTTCAGGCACATCCCATAAATGTCTATGTTGAATTTTTTGAGCTACTTTCCATCCATTACCTAATTGAAGATCACCAACATAAAATACTTGTTGTGCTTGAGAAACAAGTATAAACGGATCATCCTTATACCATAAGTGACACGTGTTTATGCTTGTAAAGTTATTATTTTGACGAACATGATTTTTCTTAGGATTTGTATCATACCAATCGCACCTAAATAGAAGAACTCGTTTGTCTTTAATGTACTTCAATTCTATCACTTCCTTAATAATACCATAGAAGTCGGATCTCTCATTATCATCTCCACCAAATACACACACTCCACTATTTTGAGTAGTGTAACGATCATCCCTCTCGTTTGTGTTGAACCGAACCCCATTAGTAACACACCTTTGATATGAATTTACTCGACGGTCCGGGCCACAGGCAAGTGCATACAACTCATTCACAACTTCGTTTGATGTCGAACAAACTTGAGAACTCACTTTTTTTTTAAACAATTCTGGAAATAGAATCTCTTGAAGCCTTGTGAGATTACCACTATTACCACTACTTCCACGTTGAAGCTCCATTTCGTGCTCTCTACCCAATGATTGAACAATGAATAGATGTTGAAGTAAGAATAATCTTAATTTTCTAAATATAAAACAAAAAAAAACATACCGTTTGTATTCATCGACTGCTTCGCAATTGGTTAAGACATACTAGTGGGCTTTTTGTAACTCAGTATGCGATAGTTGTTTCATTTTTGAACCACCGATTGGACGTGCATTTTATGAAAACACAGACAGACATCCTTTATTTGTTTCATTCAAGTCTTGCGGATCATCATTCCGAACTGGCCTATTGAACTTTGTTTCAATTCCACTTAGGTACATCGAGCAGAACGTTAACGATTCATTTGCAATGAATGCTTCTGCTATAGATCCTTTAGGGCACGCTTTATTTCTTACGTACTGTTTCAATGTCATCAATCTCCTACGAGCAAGTGTTATTGTTACTAAATAAATAAATATATTGAAAACTAGACATGAAGATACTAAACATATCATACCTCTCTATTGGATACATCCAACTATAACCACAGGTCCAACAAGTTTGGCTTCTTCTGGTAAGTGGACAGCTAGATGAACCATGACATTGAAGAATGCTGGAGGGAATATTCTCTCGAATTTACATAAAATCAATACGATTGCTTCTTGTAGCTTATTCAAAGTCTCGACTTTTAAAGTCTTTACAGTCAGATCCTTGAAAAAATCTGACAATTCTGCAATTGCCGAACTCACATCTTTGGGCAAGAAAGGACGAATCCCCACTGGTAAAAGTCTTTGCAACAAGACGTGTGAGTCGTAACTTTTGAGTCCAGATATCTGTTCATCTTTACCACTAACACATCTTGATATATTTGATGCAAAACTATCAGGAAATTTAATTGTTTTCAAGAAGTTGCAAAATTTCCTTCTTTCTTCTATTGTTAAAGTGTAGCTCGCATGCGGTTTCACCCACTTATTCCCGACTTGTTGAAGATGCAGCTCTTTTCGAATGTTCAACCTCATTAAATCTCTACGTGCTTTATCAGTGTCATTTGTTTTCCTTTCGACGTTTAATAATGTGCCCATGACATTATCACATATATTTTTCTCGATATGCATAACATCCAGTTTGTGTCGAATCTTAAGATTCAACCAATATGGTAACTCAAAAAAGATGCTTTTCTTCACCCAATTGACTTTATCATGCAATCGCTTCCTTTTTCATTGTAAGATGTTTACAGTTTTTCCAAGTGGCGGAAACTCAATGGATTCTAATTGGTGAAGGACATTCGATCCAGAAAAATGACGTGGTGAAAGTCTATGTTCGGTTTCTCCATTATAATGTTTACTTTTACGCCAGGGATGATCTTTATGCAAGAATCGATGATATCCCATATAGCATATTTTACTATGCAATGGGGCAGATGTAACGTCTTCGTTACAAACTGGGCATGCCTTATATCCTTTCGTACTCCATCCCGACAAATTGCCATATGCAGGGAAGTCATTGATTGTCCACATCAAAGCTGCATGGAGTCGAAAGTTCTGACCACTGCAGGCATCATACGTCTCAAAGCCGGTACTCCACAACTCCCTCAACTCATCTATCAATTGTTGTAAGCAAATATCTATCTCTTTTCCTGGAGCCTTTGGCCCTGGTATGAGTAGCGACATGAAAATATATGCTTCTTTCATACATTTCCATGGTGGCAAGTTGTATGGAATCAACATTACTGGCCACGTGCTGTAAGTCGTACCCATATTGCCAAATGGATTGAATCCATCTGTGGCCAATGCTAATCTAACATTTCTTGGATCTCTTGCAAACCAGGGGCATTGTCTATCAAAATGTTTCCAAGCCTCAGCATCTGCTGGATGTCTTAGAACTCCTTCTATGTCTTTTCTCTTTTCCATATGCCATCTCATGTCTCTAGCGGTATGTTTTAATAGAAATAATCTTTCCAATCTCGGCTTCAATGGAAAATGTCTCAATATTTTGTTGGGTATTTTCTTTCCTTTACTCTTCTTAATTTTGTAACGAGATTCATTACACTGTGGACATCTATCTACTTGCGCATTTTCTTTCCAAAATAGCATACAATCATTTTTGCAAGCATGTATACTTTCATATCCTAAACCTAGGTCACGCAACATTTTCTTTGCACCATAAAAGGATTATGGAATTTTAGAACCATTAGGAAAAACTTCTTTCAATAACTGCAATAGCATATCGAATGACTTGTTACTCCAATGATTGAGTACTTTGATATGCATTAATTTAACCAAGAATGTTAGCGAGGAAAATGATGTACATCCAGGGTATAGTTCTTGATTGATTTCCTCAAACATCGATTGGAACTTATTACTTCCACTTTGACTATTACCACTTGATCCAATCCCAATTGAGTAATCTTGACCATGATATACCTCATTATTCAAATCATTCAACATTTCACTAATTCCATCTGATCCCTCTACATTACGTGTGATGTTTTCACTTCGTGTCATATAAGCAGATAAATCTGGAGTTTCTCCATGAAAAATCCATCTACTATAAAATGGAGACATTCCATATTTGTATAAATCTTCTTCAACATCATAGGGTCGTTTTCATTTAGTATTTTGACATCTCTTGCATGGACAACGTGTAAACCCTCTCTCATCTACGTGATTCTTTGACAATTCAACAAATGACCTGATCCCTTCTTTATATTCTTTGTTTAACCTATTCGGGTCTTTTATCCAAGTTCTATCCATAGTTTTCCTAATCAATAGTAGAATATAATGGATCAATAAAGCATAATAAGTCCATTCAACAACTATGCAAGCAGTGATAAACAATCAACCTATATATAATTAGCTATCTATATGCTGTGACATATGACATTATTTATGTGTAATATAAATTGAGACTTTAAACACACAATTGTATACTATGATATCATGTCAAATTGTCAATAACCTCAAACAATTAAATTATATTAAAGGCCTCCTTAATTTTGTTTGACATTTGAATTACTTTGAACTGAAACTAACGTGCTAATGGAAATACTTTCACATTAATTCTTTTAAAGGCAAAGTATCTTACTTTAAAATAGATTTAATGATAATTTTGAAATTTAAAAATTGCATGACATTAGATGCTTAGGGATGTTGCGGCTGGGCCATTTGCATACTATTTTTTCTCCTAATACATAATATATGTAGTTTTTTTTATGTAGTTTGAATATGTAGGTGTCATACCATTGTCAATTGCATCGTCCCATCTTGAAAATAAAGAAGCTTAGGGAATTAAAGAGTGATTAAAAGTAATTTCGAATAACTTGAACAAAAAAATTACCTACTAATTAGTACTTCAAAGTTCACTACAGGTTTTCTCAAGGGGGTTATTTGTACATTGAGCCATGGATTAAAGTAAAAGGAAAGATAGAAGGCAGAAATTTAAGTCCCATAATCAATTATGCAGCTTATCATTCAATTTTTGTGTAGCAATTAGCCTATATGTCACAACCTATATATATTACATAT